AGGGTTATATTTGAAGAAGTGTTTCGAATGATCAACCTCGAAAAAGCGTTGTCATAGGAGCATCACCACGAAATGAACGTCTGCATGCTGCAGCGATATTCTTGTCATTTATTATCGAACGCATACAACCAGCTACAATAAAATTTCCTTTAAGGCAGACAAGTGCAATGATAAAAATCTTGAAGGTGTCCGTTTGGTGGGTACGCAAATTGCCACTAGACATGATTCGTTCACTGGATGTAACGAGTTACAATTTCACATCCGATATAGTGGTCTCATCCGCCAGCCTTACCTTCATCTCGATACGCAGCGATGACTCACTCCTGTGGCTCAAAAGTTCTAATTATGAACTCACTTATTCGTTTCTGCGAACATACTTGATGGCATTGCTCGCAGATACGAGTTAATGGGTTCAAGCTAAAATTCGAGTTCCGTCTTCACCGATTTAGCTTTTAATGGAGGGATACGGTAGTGTTTGCTGACAGCAATTCTTTAGTCCGAAGGAGACACTAATAACTGGAGGATAATAGAGGGATGTGAGACGTATGTAAGATATTCCAGAGTTGTGACGAAGTCAGCGTTGTCTTGTTCGACTCGGTTTCGTATTGTCTTGATAATGATATGATTGAAGGTGATGATATGCTCTTCCAGTATTACCTAGCTGCCTTTAGAGTTAATTGAATCGTTTTTGGCGCTTTGTTCACGCCAATCAGCATCTGCTGCTCAGAGTGTCTAATGTGACCCTAATAAACCACTTCAACCAATGAATATTCACTTCTGTTTGGAGCCTTGAAGATGCCGTCATTAAACATTGCGCATCCTTAGAGAGCCATATCCTTTTGTACAGCTAAGCTAACCATCGAATTTGGATTATTTATGATTATCTCGATAATGGCGAAGTGAATGGGTAGTTTTGCGTGTAGCTCGCATAGGAGCAGTCTCGAACTTGCATCAATCTCAGAAAGGCTGACAAGCTTGAAATATGTATACTCAGCATAATGAAAGACGACCAAAGTGGATATTGGGAGAAAAAGGATAATACTGTGTGTTTATCATCAGATTGAGAAAATTTTTATGTGAACGCATTCATTAATCAGAAGTGGGAAGACGTTCCAGGGAGGGCTAATAGGAACAACCGTGTGATTTGAAAGCCAATTTATTGATGATGGAATGTAAGAGTAAATCTGAAATAGTGCTTACATAAAGTTTGAATAAAAACGTCTTTGCGGTGTTTCAAAAAACGGAATGAGCCGAACGAGGCAATTTCTTCTCACAATCAGTCACAAGAGGATAGCTGTTCAAAAGTTTTCCTTCCTTGCAGCCAACCATTTTTCCTATCCAGTCAACCGTATATTGTTTTCAAACATTTACAACGAACTCTCAAGCCTTCAAGTGTTCCTTTTTAGTATTGAGAAATTTTACGATTACTTCCCATCATCATTCGGTTATATGAAGGAAACAGCTGAATACATCAACGAGAAACTGAAATTGTGCCGTGCGCAGACTATCGCTAATTCAGATACGTTTAGACTTTCTAACTGTGATAATCCAACTGCAAAAACACGACTGAAACATAAACTGAAATAGCTGTCATATGACACTTCTTCAATGATTGCTACTTAACTGATCTGTCTACATGTAATGTTATAATTAGCGCCGACATAGTCGAATCCAAAATGCTGCAAAAGGTTCCATTGCATTGCATGGAACCTATTTTTACTCAGACTATCTGCATTGAGAAAACTTTTATGTGAACGCATTCGTTAATCAGGAGTGGGAAGACATTCCAGGGACGTTTTAAGACGTTTAACTGCTAAATTCAAACATTACGACCATCTGCACGTATTGTCGTAATGTTTGAACAGGACATGTAATCGAGCAACCTATCTGTAACGTTTTGAAAGGGAATATCTAAGCGAAACGTTTGCAAATCGCTGAAGAGATCATTCAGTTCGTGTTGTTTTCGCGAAAAAGATGAGGCATTAATTCAGTTACATAATGTTCATTCATTAAGCTAAAGTACTTCTATAAGACCATCCGCATATTCATATTGATTAACGTTAATTGCATAGTGTTTGACTGCTATTTCTCATCAGTCTTCCTTATTAAGATTGTTTTCATACACATTTAAATAGAATACAAACTGAAAAAACATGAACACCTCCGAATTATGTCTATTGATGCATGGAGATAAAATCAAATAGCAGTGTCCACTTACATGCTGAGTAAGTAAAAAGTTTGAGTACAACTTTTTGTGATTGTATTTTAATAACAATTAAATACGACTGAATTGATCTTTTGCTAGTGATTTGTCGAAAAGTAGCGTTTATATTTACTTCTTTTGTTCGCAACAAGAACGAATCTGTCACCGACAAACACTATTCAAATGACACAATCAAATAATATAATTCGATAGTCGTAGCAAATAGAACGTATTTGTCAAATTGATTACTGCTTGCCGATAACAATGGAACAAGGAAGGGAAACGAGAAAGACAACCAAAGAAAGGCCGCTGAGTAAGTAGTAGTGAAAGCAGTCGACAACTGTGAAACGTATTGAAGGAAAATAATTAGTTATAGACACGTGTACTTAAGGAGTGATCTCGAGGAAACCTACATGCTTCAAAAGTGAAATGTAGAATTTATAAAGATAATGAAAGTATCAGTTGTGATAATGAAGGAAATAATTGAAATAAAAATATTTGCCGAAGTTATTTCAGCGAATGAAATCCTGATCAAAATGACTGAAGTCAACCAAAAGAAACTCACTTTTCTTAAACTGAAGAACGTTTTTATGAACCGGGAAAAAAGCTACGCAGCGATAACATGAACCAATAGCACTGCAAGTTGATCATTTAGAATAGGATTAACAATACCTTCAATGCACGACAACATCTCTCAGATTCCTAGAGGGAAGCATAATGCATTTGCAATAAAGGATATTTTGACTGTAATAACTGTATTCATCAAACACTTCAAGAATATTGTCACCGTTCGTTGCAGAACTGGTATATGTGCTCGATTAGTTGGGTTAAATCGATTTACAAACCTCTGCCACTGTTTCGTGCGTTGACTAACATTATTTTTCGGGAGTAATTTTTAATAGAAACTACACGTTTAATGTTTAAAGAATGAATATTTCAAGCAAAATTTTCGAGAAGATGCTGATAATTATAAGTGGAACATATTTTTTGTGAAGGAGATATAATGAAGAGTGCTTTTAGTGCTCACACAATTAAAGTTTCATTATGTTGATACGGACTCGTTGAATGCATCAAAGTATGTCAGAAACACTTCAATTTCGCTCACTGCAGCTGATAAACTGCACTCGAATGCACAGCACTTATTATGGAACATCAAATATTCAACGAATTTTCCAGTATCGTAACAACCCATTCAATCATCAAATCAACTGTTTGATATCATTCAACCAGAAGCGACAAATCTATTCAACTATAAAATACGTCTAATAACTCTATTTGCATACTGAAATCAACAATCTTTAACACATTCTATGACTAAAGATAAATTCATATCTGCATTAATAAGCGATTGGTATACGTTCGCTTATAAAGTGGTTCGTTTGAAACATGGCTCATTGACGAACGCATAGTAAATAGATGTTTGTTTGCGCACAAATGAAAGAGATTACCTGTTCAGATGAAACAGATAATGATGATCGTGTTGAGACATTGCAACACAACGTCCCAATGAATCCACCCATGTGGCATTAATAACAACTGGTGTGCTCCTTTCGCTTAGATACCAACTTCCTTGCCATTTTAGATCACAGTCTTCTAAAAACATCAATTTTAATAGGGTCACATATGAAACCAATCTTTGTAGAACTCAACTAATACAAAAGAATATTTGAGATCTGGCTTGAGGATTTTCATCATGTCATCTTAATTACGAACAGCATTACAGTTCATTATAACTGTATATGAAGAAGACTGGAATCAACCAGAAACCGCAAAAATCCTTCAGAATTGGACTTGCTAAAAATTTTAGCTCGGACGTCTTTGTGATATTGGTTTGAACTTATTTGAAGTGAGTTTGATTACGTTAAATCACTGAAAATTGAAGTAAATGTGGGAGAGTTGTGAAAGAAGCGATTTCAAGATTGGAGAGAAAATTTCCACGTTATTTCGATGTTATCATTCAAATATCACTAGCAACCGAGAACTTAGCTCGATTGCGGGATGTAAAATACATTTTAACTGCTAAATAAAGTTTGTATACAGCTTGCATACGAAATGTGTTTTTAACAAACATAAATGTTGAGAGATCTGAAATAATGTTGTTGTTATTGCACAGCAGGATACTATTGTTGTCACGGTAAGCGACTTCCAAGCAAATTGCTAACTCACAGTGCTCATTAGATTCATTCCCTCAATAATTCCTTTCCACTTAACTCACAATCTAAAATGTTTAATAGGCACCTCAAAATCACTGTCTTTGCAAGAATGCATCACATTGGACGTTTCTTATTGCAGATCACTCAACTCCACACTAATAACATTTATTGAAAATTTTGAACGTTTTAAAGAGACTATTCCGACTGGTGAACATACTTTCTTTGAAATAAAACAAGAAAACTCGAAATCTCGAAATTTTTTTTCAGAGCTGAACACGGATAACAAAAACGTTTGGATCATTCGATAATTGCGTTGCAAGTGTGTTACATCATGTTCACTCCACCGTATGCGTAACAATTCCTTAGAATGACCAAATAATGTGTTTGTTCGTTGCCAAATTCATGCATTTCACTCAAGCGAACCAGAGTCACAAGCATGAGTTCATTAACAATCTAATTATCTTACAGTTGGTATGTGTCCCACTTCATCTCACTCACATCATTCATTGCCTTTGTTTATCGAATTATTTCCAGACAAAAATATTGTCATGCAGTGAAGCACACTGAATGGTTGAAGAAAATTACTAATTTTAAATTACCAATTAATAACCGTTTACATAAGTAACTCTCTGGTTCACTACGCTATGAGTGGCTCAGTACTTTTCAGGAACAGTAATAAGTTATTGTTGAGACATTGTTGACGAAAACTTTTGCTAACATTCACATGGATTTCAGGCAGGCATACAGGCTTGGATGACCTAATGTGATTGTGATGTATCAATCCATCAGGGAAAGACAAAGGAAAACGTTTCGCAATAGAAAGATGGCGCAGACAACGTCTACAAATCAATTCATCGTTGTGTCGTCAATCAAAATTTAGAAAGCACAACTTAATTTGCATAAAGTGACATTTTCATCCGGATCATCTTGTAAACGAATGCAATCCTCTTGTGCATATTTATACCGCTTCGAGTGGTTTGTCAAAGATGGTCATCATTATTGTTCACTGGAGAACGAGAACCGCTTTCGATAAAACAAATGTTTGGATGATGCACTTATCGCATTCCTATCTTGCACAGAAATGCTTCAGCAAGCAAATAACACACCTGTTTAATTGCATAGATAGCAAAGTGCTGTAATTCAGTATAATACAAGTACTTGAACGCATAACCGCATGATGTTGGCATTCTAAGCATTCATTTCATAGCACGTAGGCTGTAATCCGATCGACGCTTTATCGTGCTCATGATGAACACTGATGCCGTCTTATGGATCTCCTTTAGTTAATTCGCTGTTTTTTTTTTTTTTTTGGAAACTGCGCTTCCAATTATCCATCCAATCAAAGTTTGTCAATCTTCGCTGATTACAACGAAAGTTATGATAAAATTTATCTTCCGTGTATTTGAACGGTAGTGCTGGCGAAGAAAAAAAACGAGATTAACACTTGAATGTTATCCTTTCAGAATTTGCGTATAGTTCTCAAAACTGCAATCCACTAATATTATCCTGATATAACCGATCACTCTGTTCCGAAAAAAAGCAGAACTGCTTCAGCATTTGAATTTTGAAGATGGTCACGTCAGAAAACACTCATAACAGAAGCGTATTTCTGAAGCGTTAGGATGACAACACCCACTGAATAGTATTTGAATTGTTCATAATGAATCTGAAGTTTTAATTCATTGAATTATATTTGGTTTCTGCGCATTGTTGCTTTTATGCTGAAGGGTAAACTATTTTCTGAATTCAAACAATTTAACTGATTTTGTAAATCGGACATATGCTAGAAGTCGATGAGGGTTCGTTAGGTGGTCATACAGGCTAGAAATAGCTCGAATGAGAAGAAATCAGCTTGAGAGTAGAACCAAGTGAACAATGCTTTGTTGTTTCGAGCAATCGTAATTGTTAATTGCGAAAATCAAGATACACTGGGGACAGTGACTCTGGTTAAGTGTGTAAGATGTATGATGTTCGCTTTGCAACTGTGCGCTTCTCAACGATGCCACACTGAATAGCAGAGTCGAATCAAAATCACCCATCAGGATATATGTATCTTTGCTGAATATCAACATGCGTTTCATTCGGTCATATCGCACGAAAAATATTCTTTCAGAAATTTTTTCTAGGAGAATAGCGAACTTGATAGGAATTGTAACTGTTATGGCAAACGATTATAAAATTACACTCGTTGTGAGCAACTATTTGAATTGTAACATCTGACTGCACTCACGAACGATCGAAGGAGTTCAAGGTGTTCGATTAAGGAAATATTACGTGCCAGCTATCACTTATTTATTTTTAGCATACTCATAATAGCGCGAAATGAAATGAAAAATGAACACCGCTTCGAATGTTTGCACGTTATGAAATCGAGCACTGCTTGGCTGATTACTCCAACATTATTGAGATTCATTCAACTAGAACCAAGCTACAAAGTAGACTTATTGCGCAGGAACCTGGGCGATGCAATGCCAAATTCAGCCTTCTCGCATACCAATGCACTCAAAATTTCTCTTTCTAACTGATGAAATTTCAACTTTCTTTCAGTTCATGGCGAAAAATGTTCAGTTATACTCATTATGGAACCAATATCACACCTAAGGTTTCGCCTAAAATCATTACAAAAATGGCTTTCTTGTAAGAAAATGCTGAGGGACAACTATCACTTCATGCAAGACTGAGAGAGGACACTGAAGGAATAACTGATAAGAACTGTAAAAAGGAAAAAATAAGAAAGCGAAGACATGAATGACGACTCACCGGTCGGTAAATCGACGAGTTGCGCGAGAATCCGAGCAGAAAATATGACTAGAAGAACGATGAAGACTGTAAGCATGATCAGCAGCTCATTACATGAATGAACGAAGGATTTCGAGGGCTGTATAAAGTATATGTGAAAAATGTGCGTTTATATCACACACAAATAAATGTATCAGTCTATCTGCATGCTATAGCAGATATGTTATATAATATGAGGATGAGAAAATAAAAACGTGAAATGAGATAGATAGGTTGTGGTTGTTGGTGGTTGGATACTGGTTCGTTTCATGTTCAGTTCATGCAATCGTCATTGAGGCGGAGCACATGCAGCGGCGCATTTGCCATTGATGTGCGCGGTGGCAGTATGTTCAGTTGGAAAGCAAAGGCAGGCGGAGCAAGTGAGCAAACTAAACAAACGGTCATCGAAAGACCCGAAACAAACAACCCATTGCACTGATTATTATTCATCATGCATCGACGCATGTGCATCGCAAGAACGTGATGAATTATGAACAAAAAAATGAATTTATTCATTCAGAAAGTTTTGTTCAGCGTTCGCTTCACCACTTTTCATCCGCATTTCACTTTTGTGTTCGTTCATCTCAAAACAATGAAATAAAATGAATTTATGTCATAAATGTTTCGAAGAAAGCCAAATCATTTAACAATTGCGCATTATAATCAAAATGCGTCAGTGGATTGGGTTTAGCTTTAGTTAATTCAGGTGGAAGATCTTCTGCTGTTTAGTCGCAAGAAGTTGGTCTGTGAAGCAAGAAGGTAGTGAACCCAGGAAAAACAGTGGCAAAACATTGTTTCAAATATGTTATGGTATCACGTCTAAAATCCCAGTCAGATGAATACCTGCCATAGTTTGCAGTTGATTAAATGTGTAGGGACTGGCGCAGTCATCACTGGTATGCAATGATCGAAATCTTTCATGAATAAATTAAGCAGTAAATCTGAAATGAGGAAATTTCGAGCAAAAGAATGGGTAATGCTTCTAAAAAATCGAATGTTCTATTATATGAAATACAATACAACATTCGATTTTATAGACGCATTAAGCAACTAAATGAATCGCGAATGAATCAGACTATCACCAGTTATGACGAACAAATAGGTGATCCAACTGTTTTACAATTACCTTAGACGTCACTCATGTCAGTAGCGGTGTCGAAACAACGTTTGTTTTAATCTGTAGCTGTACGAACCCAGCTCAAAAACTCAGTTTCACTCACAATATCCTGCATTCCTCAATTGATAATCCACCGAACGATTAAAAAACCTGTCGAACTTCAGTAATAAAGGCATTGCAACTCAGTCAGAAAGTTCATACATTGGCAGCGTTGTGAATAGAGGTTACTTGAATTTACTTGATGAAAATAAGAGGTGCTCCATAGCTGTTTGATCGCTTGTTGTGACACCGACTGATCATCTCAAGTCGGTTATTTGAACGTTTCAGCGCTTGCATGCAATTTGCTAAGGTCAATGTTAACACTGAAATCATGGGCACATTTAGAACCATAAATGATATCGTTAGATCATTGACATTGGCACACCATTCGGTTGCGAACAAAACTTCCCCACCTCCATCGAGCAGGGATAGAATTTTCATTATTTTGTTTGCGGATCAGAATGCCTTTCAAGCAGAAGTCCCTAGTGCTGCAATTCTGCATTTTTGTAATTATCC